TTACATGGAACCTTTATATAAAGGTTATAAGGAAAGGAAAAGTTTTCACAGAGCAGTGTGGAATCAGACAGGAAGCTCCACAATTGAGAAGATGGCACAATGACTGTAGAACACGCCAGCCCGGACTGACAGGGGGGTGATGGACCCCAGTTAATCGCTCAGTGCAATTAACACTTGCGCTGTTATCGGCAGAGGAGACAGCATGCAGAGTCTTCCCATACAGATCTTGGCAACATCCAGCACAAGCATGCTGAGATTGTTAAAGCCAACGTCCTCTCAGCAACTGCTGGTTCCAGAGACAACTAAGGCACCTTCTTGACTGTGAGGGTGCCTGAGCCCTGGCCCAGGCTGCCCAGGGGGGCTGTGGAGTCTCCTTCTCTGGAGATCTTCAACCCCCGCCTGGCCGCTGTCCTGTGCCCCCTGCTCTGGGTGAGCCTGCTTGGGCAGGGGGGTGGGAGGGGGCGAGCTCCCGAGGTCCCTTCCAACCCCTGCCAGTCTGGGATTCTGCTTCTGCATTTCAAAAATTTGTTAAACTCCTTTCATCTTCTCCAGAGACAGAAGCCCATTTGCTGGTGCTGGTTCAGTTTGATGACTGGAGAAGAAAGGTAACACGCACACGTATACACAAGTTCAAAGACTGTGGCACAAAGCAAGAATCTCTCCGGTACCTACTCTGCTTCCACCAGGCTGTTTAGGAGCCTTTCCTTCTCCTCAGTCAATTGGCTGTGCTTCTCCTCCATCTCTACTGATTCTTTTTCTGCTGCCTAGAGTTGAGAAGCATAAACCAATACAACGTTGTCAGACTGAGAAAGATTTACAGGATCACTGATTACTGATCTGCATGGGCAGTTGAGGCCTGGAAATCAGATGTCAAGCCTCCGTACCTTGAGAGAGCGCACAAACTCGTTCTCTGTGATAATGTTGCCATATTGCAGCTCCTCAAAGCTGTTGTTGTTCTTGTTGATCAACACATTCAACTTTATCAAGTCATTCGACATGTTCCTCATGTGACGTTCGATGTCTTTCTGTTCTTTTGTTTCCCCCAGGAGCACTGGGCTGAATGCAGGCAAGGTGTGACAAACTGCTATTAGACCAGACAATGCTGCATGCAGAGCCACCTGTGTCCCACATACCCAGCCAAAACCTTGTCCATCAAGCC